TTCTTTAGCTTTAAGGGACTTTAACGACAATTTTGTTTTTAATCATGCTAATGCATGCATTAATAGCCTTGGTATTACTAATACCATAATTTTCTATGTATTAGCTATACATAGGATAATACCAAATAGAGTATATAACTAATACTTGTATGAGTTATACATAGGTTGAAAAAGTATACCAAACAAAGTATTACTAATACACAAAGCTAATGCATGCATTATTTTCTCTAATACACTCTACCAAACGACTTCTTAGTGTGCTGTTTGGGTTCGATACCGCTCCTGTAAATGCTCAAATTTTTATTTGATAGTGGTGCTCCCGTTACTTTCAAATCCTAAGTCCTCCACCGACCATCATACCAAATCAAATAAATATTAATATTATGAGAATTCATCATGAATTGACCAGTTTTATAAGTCATAAAATTTCACTGAAAATTTTAGCTTCTTGAATTTGCTTTGTTAGCATCTTGTAATTTAAACTATTTTTGAGTCAGACAGTTGAAACAGACACAATTATTGAGGTGTTAATTAGTCGCAATCAATGGAATTATCTGATATTAGATTAATTTGCGCTTTATAATAGTACAATGTGTTACTCGTTCTAAAATAGTGAAATTTACTCGTTATGAATTTGTTCCACAATTTGCAAACGTGTAATCAGATGAAGTACTGGAGGCCAAAAATGAAATGGACCAATGGATATTTTTGTAAATCTCCCCTAGATGTAATGTGGCACATTTTTATTTTAAACATTCGATATTTATTCCAACTGAATACTATGATCAGAATGTTGGATAGATTAGATCCCTCTATTATTAATTACTAAAAACTTTGGATTAGAGCTTCGGATATAGATGAACTTTTGGTAGGATGCTTTCTCCTTAAGTGAACCATACACGTGACATCGAATTAGTCTAGCCAATAAATTTTAAATTAAAAGAAAAAGGAAAAAAATATTATTGATATTTACTACTCCTTCCGTCTCAAATTATCTGTCGTATTTCTATTTTATACGTTCCTTAAGAAATATATTAAATAGAACAAGTTTTTGACTATTTTACTCTTATTTATATCTTAAGATATAATCTCTTCACTTAATACTTACTCATAATTGAGTTGTTTGTAGTCTTCAAGGAAATTTATTACTAACGATAAAAAAGGAAAAAAATAATTAATTTGATTTTGAACTTTTAAAATGACAAATAATTTGAGATAATTATTTTTAGTAACCACGATTGATAATATGAGACAGAGACCGAGGGAGTACTGTACAAGGTAAAAAAAATGTAAAAATAGTACGGGCTAGCCAGATTTCGGACCGGACATTCAAAAATACCCACCATATGGGCCAAACGGGCCGGGCTTAACGGGTCTGGGCTTAGCGGGCCTCAGCTCTGGCGGTCCCGGGCCTCACGGTCCCGGGCTTCGTGGGCTCAACGGGTGGAACCAGCCCGTGACGGGCCTAAGCCCATATGGTCCTGGGCTAAACGGGTCGGGCTCGTGGGCTTAGCGGGCCTAACAGGCTCTTTTATTTCCGGGCATTTTTTTTAATTTTTTTTGTTTAAGGCAATTTCTTGTAAACCATATCATGGCTATATAAAAAAAATATATAATATATATGTAGAAATCTAATTATTAAAGTGCTTGACGAAAAAGTAAAATAACAAAACAATAGTAAAACTAAATTGTCATGCATAATAAATTAATAAGAAAGTACAACATGACACATAAATACGTCTAATAATTTTAATATAACACAAATTATTGAAATATCTTAGAGACGAATTTGCGGATAAATACCATCAACACAATACGTTATATGCCTCCTTAAAATGCATGTGGTACACCCTGAACGAAAATTTAAGACTCTTCCACAGTTCTTGCATTTTAATATTTGGCCTTCTTCATTTTCTTCGAGCACTTCATAGTAGTGCGAAACAAATAAGCGCAGTCTTTCCGAACGAGGCATGATGTAACTTGAAAATTAAGATTGAGACTTGAAGTCTTGAAAATTGGAGATTGAGAGATTGAGAGAAATTTAGATTGAGAAATGAGTATTGAGTATTGAAATGAAGAAGAGAGAGGGGGTATTTATAGTGTTAGAGAAGGTTAGTTTTGTAAATTGAAAAAAAACCCGGCTATTTGTGCAATATGGCCGTTGGTGGTCATTGGGGGCGGGGCCCTCATTTTGAATTTTGAAAAATCTTGTTTTGTAGTATATATAGTATACTAGTATAGTATACTATATATAGTATGTTATGTATATATATTTCCCAATATAATTTCTTATAATGTTTTGTAGTATATATATATATATATATATAGATTTTTTTGTAGTATATATTGTATGTTATGTATATATATTACCTTATATATTTTCTTGTAGTATATATTGTATGTTATGTATATATATTCCCTTATATATTTTCTTGTAGTATATATTGTATGTTATGTATATATATTCCCTTATATATTTTCTTGTAGTATATATTGTATGTTATGTATATATATTCCCTTATATATTTTCTTGTAGTATATATTGTATGTTATGTATATATATTCCCTTATATATTTTCTTGTAGTATATATTGTATGTTATGTATATATATTCCCTTATATATTTTCTTGTAGTATATATTGTATGTTATGTATATATATTCCCTTATATATTTTCTTGTAGTATATATTGTATGTTATGTATATATATTCCCTTATATATTTTCTTGTAGTATATATTGTATGTTATATATTTATATTATAGCTTATAAATAATTGCAAGTTAAAGACAAAAAAATATTGCAAAAAGATATTCAAGGGCATGTCTTATAATTTTTATTACCAAAAATGGCATATCTTTCTTAGTCTTCCTCCCCCCAATGGAATGAGCACAACAAGGTACTAATACCACCATTAAAAGGGAAAAAAACTAAAAGAAGATATGCCAAAGTACAAGTTACACCATAATCTACATTGT